TTGTAATGATGGTGTCAAATGAAAAAATTTTATTTGATTTTAGGTTGTAAAACGTAGAAAATTGCAGTATATCATAAAACGTTGTACGATACACGCCCGTTACCTAATCTCTACGTGCTCGCTAGCGCTCGCACATTAACGACCGTGCTCGCATGTAAAGATCTAGGTAACGTGCTTATAACGTAAACTACTGTAACTTGCAATTTTAAAGTTGAGAACTTTAAATCAGATCCGGAATATGTATCATCAAAATAATGTTAAAATTTTTTTTTTCCTGAATGGTCTTATTCAGACTGTAAGTTTAATTTGCCTCAAGATTTTGATCAATAAACATTAAAAAAATAAATAAATAATAATATCGTAAAATTGGTTCAATGTAGACAAAATAGATAAGTACGGTGTGAAACATGAAACGAGTCCATCAGTGTGTTAATTAAAATCAGGCAACGCTTTCGACTTTTCAAATTCATCATCACAGCCTTCTTAAGATGGTGTTATGAATTTATAATATAATTGGTTGTACGATAAAATAGTCCACTTACGTCTGGTAAAGTATGTTTGCCTTTAATTTCAAAATTTCATTTTCTTTTTCAAATTGTCAATTAGACAAAAGAAAGTGGTAAAACGTTTCTTACTTTGATTTCCAATATGTTTAAATGGATCAACTATATCATGCAAGCAAAATTAACAAATATGCCACTAGATGGTTTTTTTTTTTCAAGTCAAAAATACCCCTTTAGATTAAATTTGGTTAGGTAAGGTTAGGATTGTAAGACATGTAGCCTCCCTCCCCACGACCTTTTAGATATATTGCGGATATTCTTTGGTATTCGGTTAGAGTACTTTGTCTAGTTTGGTTTTTTCTAGTAGTCTCCATACACTAGGAAGTTGTAGCTAATTATCCTTGGTTATTCATCTCCAATCGTAAGGAATATGAGGCTTGATAGACCTCTAAAGTAGCACAATATGTGTACTGCAGTTTCTTCCTCTTCAAGAACAGAATCGGCACAAGGTCTCTTTTGCCAGATGCATATATGTGATAAAGCCTACAATGCCTTGTTAATATAGACCTCTAATATTTTTTCCTATTCTGGCTTAGTAAAGGCTCTGTGAGTTTTGGCAATGGTGTTTTTATAAATTCTCTTTAGTTTTGTTTGTGTGCTGCTAAGCGCAGTTTGCGGTATTGTGGTTATTCTGCTATCGACAAAATTAATAGACATTTAACGGTAGAGGAAGCAAATCAAGCTATTGGGTTGCTTCTTGGAGGTGTGCGACAGATCGATGTGGCTGATCGGTATAATGTCTCTCAAAGTGTAATTTGAGACTGGATCTGTCATGGACAGGCATAGGGAGGGTAGACCAAGATCGTCAAATGCTAGGGAAGACCGAAGATTAGTGAGAGGAGCCAGGATGGATCCTACAACAAACTGCGCGTTGCTCAGCCAGCACCTTTTCGCTGCCAGCCGAATTCGTCTTACCCCTCGGACAGTTTTAAACCGATCGAATGAAGTAGGTTTACGTTGCTATAGGCCTATAAGACGCCCTCCACTGACCGTAGTCCATAAAGCACAACGTTTGCTTTGGTGCAAAGAAAGGGCCAACTGGAATAATGAATGCCGCAATGTGATGTTCAGTGATGAAAGTCGCCTTTGTCTTTGTGCTGACAGACGTACAGTTCATGTCTGGAGACCAAGAAATTCAAGAGTTAATGACCAATATGTTCAAGAAGTGCATCCATTTGGAGGTGGATGTTTAATGGTCTGGGGTAGAATTTTCTACGGAGGTCGAACGGAGGTGTATGTTTGTGAAGGTACCATGACAGGTGAAATTTATGCCCACGACATCATTGATAACCTGGTGAATGATTATCGCTGGAATGTGGAGCCCAATTTCAGATTTCTGGATGATAACGCACGCCCGGACAGAGCCAGGGTAGTACAAGAACGGCTAGCATTCCATGAAATCAATCATTTGGCCATTACCCCCGCTCTCTCCTGATTTAAACTGCATCGAACATGCCTGGGACATGCTGGGAAGGGAAGTTATTTCCCATCAACCTCCTGTTCAGGACGTAAGGTCACCGAGGCAAGTTCTTCCACATCTGTGGGATACCTTGGATCAAAATGATTTGGATCATTTAATTTTAAGTATGCCTCGCCGAGCTGAAGCGGTAATAGCCAATAGAGGTGGAATTACACGCTATTAATAATTTTTTTTCTTTTTGATAATTATCTGCTTTGTTACACTATTAAAGAAAAGTCGCCTGTAAATTCTATAATTAAAACATTTTTTCAGTTAAACAAATGTGTTTCATTTTTGAAAAAGATAGGAGTAAATGTACGTTATACAACTTTTTTCGAAAACTAGTTTTTCTCAGTGAATTCACTATATCCTTAACTTTTTTCGATCAGTTTAGTAAATCAGCTTATTCATTTTCCTTATGTCCTCTGTGGCCTGGTTCCACACAAGATTTGAATCTACCTGCATGGAACTGAATGCTTTTAACGTCGCTTGACAACAGTTTTTCCATTTACCTTTTGCCCTTATACCTTATTTTCGCAGTGATGTATCGCTTCTATTTCTATGAGGAATGATGTTGCATGTTTACCCAAGCCCAGTGATATTCTTATTTTTGGCTTGGCACAAAAGACACCTTTAGTAATTCTTCTTGTTTATCCTTATCAATTTTGTATCGTCCAAACTTAGACATAATATGCTTGCTCTATATTTATAGCTGTGTTATAGATCACACCTCCTCTTAGATCCTTTTACCTAATGGTCTTTAATTCCTTATTCCCCATTCCATCTTTTATCTTGTTCCTCTAAAATCCTCTTTAGTTTGGCAACATTCTCTCGGACATATTTTACTATTGTTATATTTCTAATTCAGTGACTTCTGTCTTGTAGCCTTATTTCCCTCGTTGTTTTTTTTTTTGTAATTTGTGTATTCTGTTTCGTTTGGATTCGTTTTACACATTTTTCATACATTCGCCATAAATTTGTTAAATTATTTGTCTTCTCTGTATCTCTAACGTGTGGAGGGTGGGTTTTCCCCACGGCACCTCCTAGCCTACATATTTGATGTAGTTGACAACGTCGCCAAGAGGTGCTTCTCTTATATCGGCCGGTGTTAGCCGATACTCGCCGAACACAAATCTTCTAATAAATGAGAGCGTCGAGCAATCGTAAAGGATATGCTCGATGGTCTCATCTTCTTGTTCGCACCCTCTGCAGAGTGCGGATTCTGACAGCCCCATGATATGGAGTTGCTTCCGTACTTGGCAATGACCAGTCAGAATGCCTGTAACTAGGCGCAGATTCTGTCTAGTCATAGTCAAGTATTTGTTTGCTGCAGTGTTGTCAGGACAACTTAAGAGCTCCCTGGCAACTCTGCAGTTTCTTGTTTCATCCCATCTTTACTTGAATTTCACAAGGGAATGTTCTTTAATTAGGTCTGTCACTACCGATTTTGTCAGGCCAATAGAAGGGCCAGGTTCAAAAAGTATTTGGTTGGCTGCTTTCTTGGCTAGTGAATCAGACGGTTTCCTTTCGATGTGGCGTGACCTTTGATCCATCTTATGGTGACCACATTGTTGATTAATGCTTCGGCCAAAGCTTCGTGACATTCCAGTACTACCCCTGAGTAAATTCGTGGTCTGTTCAGGGTGAGTAGTGCTTGTCTTCTATCTGTATAGATGAGCATGTTCCTTCCAGTGATATTGTTTCTGGTTATATATTTTGCTGCTATGAGAATTCTCGTTAGCTCTGTTTAAACTATACTGGCACTATTGCTCACAGCCCATTTTATGTTTACGTTTAAGAATCTGGAATATATTCCACATCCTGAGCCTTGTTTTGTTTTAGAACCGTTGGTGTAGATATGAATCGTACTTGCCACTTCTGGCTCTTCTAATTGTTCTATCATAACTTTATATGGCTTATGGAAGATATATCTTGGTGAAATGGAGTACATGTTCGCTTGAAGCAGTGGGAGCGTATCGAGCGCTTCCTGCCAAAAGCGACGTCTCGCCTCACCAGTACCTACATCAGGTTCTATTCCAACCGTGTGGAGGCGTGTCATTGTCGTCAGAGCAACCTTCTCGATATAAATATCAAGGGGAGTGAGACTAAGAATGACTTCCATGGCTCTGGTCGGTGTTGTTTTCATGGCTCCTGTTATGTTGAGACATGCTGTTCTTTGAATTTGTTCTAGTTTACGGATAGCTGTTAATTTTTGGGTTTTCGGTACTCAGGCAACTGCACCGTATGTCCTATGATAGCCGTGTAAGTCCATGCGACGACTCTGGGGGAGAAACCCCGGGCGCGCCCCACGGTTCGGCGGCATTGTTCATAAGCAATGTATGCTCTTTTAACTCTGTTTTCTAAGTGCGAGTTCCATGTTAACTTGCTGTCAAAGGTGAGACATAGGATTACTTCACCTACCTCTCTTGCAAAGTTTAGTTTTGTGTTTAGGAGTTCTGGAGGTTTTAATTTCTTTTTATCCTTTTCCTTGTGAAAAGGACCATTTCTGTCTTCTTAGGATTGATAGACAGTGAATGGTCCTTGCATCGCTGTTCTATAATTTTTAGAGCTACTTTCAGTCTTTCACAGAGTATGTTCTTAAAATTCCCTGTTTGCAGAATTACCAGGTCATCTGCAGGACCATATTCCACAGTAGAGGTGATAGCACCTCTCCCCGTGTACATCCCCTTGCTATTATTTGTCTTATAAGTTCGGTTTAGCTTTTCATTTATATTTCCCATGTATATTTGATTCTAATTAATAAAAATGATATGTGTTTTTTAGTAAGTAATAGACACAGATGTTTATTGCGACTAGTTTCGTTCGATGACCAAATGATCCAGATTGTTAAAATGATGTTTTTAGATAAACGATACAACACTGAAGAATATTTTTGAGATGATGACGGCAATTTTATGTACCCTTCAAATGATATATATATACATACAATACCATTAACATTTTATTTTTTTCCTCAGATGAACGTCAGGGTGACCACCATGGACGCGGAGTTGGAGTTCGCCATCCAACAAACGACGTCCGGGAAACAACTTTACGACCAGGTGGTGAAAACCATCGGTTTAAGGGAGGTCTGGTTTTTCGGGCTACAGTACACCGACTCCAAGGGTGATCTCACCTGGATCAAACTCTATAGAAAGGTAAGTCATAAAAAAAAATTATCATAAAAAGCTAGAAATGCTCCTGTTACAAATATGTCGAGCTAGTATGCTTAGTCGGAAGATATCAAATTCTGATATATGATGCTTTTTGATTTAATGTCTTATGATTTCATTTTTTTATGAAAATTAAACAAATTCAATATACTGTTCCTCATCCGACTACTAAAACAGATACGAAGAGCGGCGCGGTGACGTAATCTGCTCTACTGTTTCTACACTTAGCCACATTTATAATCTTACATTTTGTAAGAATAGTTTCATATTTTTTTTTTATTAATTATTTAAAAACAATTTTTGTTTTTCGTTTTCTGTCTTCAACTAGACTATATATAATAAGCAAGGACGAAAAACCCATCATATTACAACTAATTAATTATATTACGTAAAAGTTAATTGTCTGTTGTTCGATTGTTCAAAGACAGACCATGTAATGGCGATAACAGAATTTGTTTAGTCAATTTTCATCTAAACAATGAACAATGTTTAAGCATGCGAGAATTGTTGATTTTTGTACAGGGTGGATCGTTGTCACAGAATAAATATTGTTGACCTACATTTTACGTTATACTATTCAGAAAATTAAGTTAATCAAGAAGAGTAGATATCAAACTTTTAGAAGCGAATCTTGCTTCTTTTTTTGGAAAAAACCATTTGATAATACATTAAAATGGTATCAAGACAACTTACCAAACCGAATTTCCGATTTAAAACAAACTTGATAAAAGCAAATAACTTAACGCTTAATTGAAATTGAGTTCAAGTGTAACCAAATAGAATCCATTCAAATGTCTACGCCAGAGGTGAAATTTGTTTGTGTATGAGTGGAATACGAATATAAAATATGTAGTTTAAACATTTACTGTACGAGGATTTACCTAAAATTTAAGAGAATTTGTTTTCCAATGGTACATGGTGTGAAACAATGATGTTTAGAGCTGTAATTCATTGACTAGCATTGTGTTAGCCCAGGAAGTCGGTGTTATCTCAACATTCACTAGTATTAGACTAATTATGAAATAGGTAAAAACGTTTTTGAATTTACCGCCCTAATTCCAAATTGTCACGTTTCGCGCATGCAATGGTCGACCGCGAAACACTTCTCGAGTCGTCCAGGAAAATTGCAAAAAACACTAGTCCTTCCCCTTAAGGCATTCTAAAATTAATGTCTTGATAAAAATGAAATTTAGTGTTTATAAAATTACATTCGCACACAATTTAATTTCTGAATAGGTGGGAAAAGTAATGAAATAATATTTAGTATTTCCATCTAGTACCAATTCTATGTCATGAAGAGTTATTTCTTTTTATTTTTAATATTTGCACGATCTCGTAATCGGGAACATTTTATTCGGAATAAAAATTATTTACATAAAATGCAAGATAAATCGTTTATAAACGCCAACTTTCGTCTGTTACTTTCTCATGATATTGTTTACAAGACGGTCAACAAAGCCAAAACAATTTTCAATCGTCTGAACGACCTAGAAAGGTCGCTCTCACGCCTACACCCAGGAGTATGGCTGCGAATCCTGTGAATACTAATTATTTTTGTCTATACTGAAATAGCGCTGACAGACGTATTTATATTTATGTCTGTGCAATTTTTGGAGTGATCGGAAAAATTGATAGTTTTCTATTTTTTCTTTAGAAAAATTTAAATAATATGTAACTTACTTGAATTTTGAATTGATTACAAAAAACCGGTCATACAGTTTTATCACACTTATTGCCTTGCCTTCCACGAAGGAATTTAAAATTTAAAAAGAGGAGAGCCATATTTCTATCTGCAATTTTAGTGTAGTATCCGAAAGTCCATTAATAAAGGGTTAACTAGTGAAATTTGCAGATTAGCAAAGAATATCAAAATTCAAAACGTACATTCTTCTTGGTATTTTAGACACTTAGGGCCGATTTTTTCACCTCTGAGTAAAGTTACACATAGGTTTACTTGATAGATTAGCGAACTGTAATCTGTAGCCTAATCACAAATAGTTATTTTCAACTTTACTCAGAAGTGGAAAAACTGGCCCTAAGAAAAATTAGGAAAATAAATTTTACACTATGTTTTGCAGTATTGATTTATTGCTTAAAATTCGGTGTTAATTAATTTTATTCATTATGAATATTTAATTTACAATTAAATAATGATAATATAATAATAATATAATAATAAATCATTATTAACATTTTTATTACTTAATCGTCTGCAAACAAAAATAATTAAGCATGCATTTTGAAATTACATTTTTATTGTTTTATGTAGGAATATAATTATATTAATTAGTATAGATTTAAAAACGCAAATGAATAACATTTACGAACCACATAGGTTTTTCTAAAGTTGGTATTATCTCTCCAATTTATACTTCAACATCATTTATTCATCCGAGCTTTCCTCCATTATCCCAAAACTAGCCGTATCAGTCATAATGACTCACTAGTCCTTAAACTCACACTTCTACTCGATGTAGCTCAGTGGCGGCTTGTGACAAAATATTGGGGATTCACAATGACAGAATATTATACATTTCGGTACAGATTTATGTAAAAAAACTTTCAGTGTTTTAGGAAGGTATATTATAAACACAGAAAGTTTTTTATCTAAATCTGTCATTGTGAACCCCCAATATTTTGGACACGAGTCGCCATTGGTATAGCTCTAAACTTTTAAAATCCATAGGAATGATCGCTCCTTCTCAGTCTTGTCTCTCTTTTCCCCTACAGATTTTTCATGATATTCCTATTTCCCAATCCATTAAGATCCGTGTCAACAAGATACCTATACTTTCGGTAAGGTCGTTCACGAATACTTCGGTTTTTTCTTCATGGGCGTTAATTTATTAAACTTTTCTTTCAATGTATGCGTTTTGATTTCTTCATTAATTTATACTTTTTCTTTCAAAGCTCTTCTCTATAATTTCCTCTGTATACAGGGTGTTTCAGGATAAAGTAGCGCAAGGAGGAGGACTTATAGATTTTAACTAAATAATTAGAAAAGCGAAAAATAGTTCTCCTGTAAACGTACCAGTTTCTATTCTACAGGATAATAAAGTGAATTTCAAAATACATAATTTTTTAAATATCTTCTCCCTTACGGTAAAGAAATTAACTTAAAAATATATACATATTAATTAATCACCATTTTTAGATAACACACTCTAATTTGATAAATTACGATAACCCCCATTGGCGTAGAATGAAGGGTTAAGAAAACAATTTTAATCCAATCTTTTTAAACACCCTATATTTCATAACACGTAATTTGTCATATACAAATTTTATGAAAGGGACTCTAGGTTGATCTCTGTAGAACATCCTATTTGTAACCACCGAAAGCCGACTTTGGTCCTCTCGTCGTTGCAAGCCGCTTTGTCTATGTTTCGATATCTCAGGAAAGAGACAAACTCACTCCTTCGAGAAGCTACCAAAGAAATCGTTGCGCGTCGGCTGAGTCATAGAGGAAGAAATTCCAAAGTATTTAGACCGCCGAGAATGTACTACTGCAGAGCTGGCTTTATATAAATAGCACGACTTTGTCAGTAGACGTGAATATTCAATATAAGTGTTATATAGTAAAGATAAATTGTAATAAATACATTAGAATTGTTATGATAGGGCCTAAGAATTAAATAAATTAATTAGTACGTTATAAATAAACTGTTTTTAATAAATAAACTGTTTTTAATAAATAAACTATTTTAAAATTAAACAATCGTTACAATATGTACAATTTAATCGAGGGCTGTTATAATGAATATTAAAAAGTCCATTAACTAATAGGACCAAGATATTATGGAGTTAAAAGTCCCATTAGTTAATGGATTTTTTAATATTGATTATGAAATCGGTCTTTAATAAAAATTTGCATTTTTGGAATTTCACAATGTACATAGTGTGAGCAGGGATAAAACTAAAAAAAGAAATCTAAAATGGAATATTTTATAGAGATCAACCAAGAGCACCTTTTTTCTTGACAAATTGCGAGAGGAATAATTATTAATCTTAACTTTAATGAAATATAGGGTGTTTAAAAAAGTTTCCTTGGTCCTTGATTAATTAATAATATAATTAACTAACAAGTACATATTTTTAAGTTAAAGTCTTTACCGTAAGGGAAGATATTTAGAAAATTACGTATTTTTGAAATTAACTTTATCACCATGTAGAATAAAAACTGGGACATTCACAGGAAAATTATACTTATCTTTTCTTAATAATTAGTTAAGAAATTCCTGCTTTAGGTTTGTCCTCTAATCTATTGTCCTTGTTCCCTGAATATTTTTTGGTGTTATTCTTTTTTTTTTTCAATGTTCGTTCTTCTTTCCATGGTTTCAGGTTATTCTGCCATGTTTCTAATTATTACTAAATGAGTTACTTCCTAAATAGAATGTTCTTTGTTTCCACTTTCTATTTAAACATGTTCTTCTGATTTTTCCTATTCCATAAAGTTGAATCCATATGGGATTTTATTTTTAAATAATATGTTTGGGAAAAAACGTAGAGCAATCACCTGTATTTACTTAAAATAGCCCATGTCAAAGTTGGCTACTGACATTAGTTATTTGTCAAATTCGAAATTTTTTGACAAATCGTTCGTGAATGGCCATAAAACTATCCGCTTTTGCATAATTTGAATATTTGTAAAAAATAACCACATCTTCGAACATTATCAACAAAAATTTGTATTTATTTATTGTTTTCTCGTCTCTTTTAAGCTTTTTCAATGAATTGTCAGTTACGGGGGTGTATCAAAAAAAGTGCTTAAAGTCATATATCATTCAAAATCGGTGTGTTGACATGAAATGCCATTTGAAACAAGTTTCTTTAATATTTTTTTTATATTATACCATTATTCAAATAAAAATACTAATTTGACAGATAATTAATTAATGTCAATAGCCAACTTTGATCTATTTTAAGTTTTTTTAAATAAGCTGTTATTGCTCTACGAGGTTTTTTCCAATCATATTTAAAAAAAA